AGCTCTAAATTACCAAATATGAAATATCTTCTATCTATAAAAAACAAACTCACTTTTACCATCAAATGTTTCACTTCGCATAATATTGTTTCAACAGTTTTTTTTTGCAGATTTCTTGATAACATTATGTGTGTTGGGAGTTATATTTGTACCAGAGTTTTTTGTTTGTCGCATTTGTTTGGAATTATTTTATGCTTTGCGGTTTTCCTTCTTGAAGTTTTCTGGGATGTCCCTAACGAGTTTTATTCCCGTATTTTTTTTTTGTTCTGAATTGTTATTCTAAACTGTGTTTAGTACTAGGATAGTTCAGTTCTCGTTCCGTCCCAAACTGTGTCCCCCCCCCCCTAATTTTGAGTAGGACCAGGACTTTGGAATCAAGAATCGAAGAACCGAACAGGACTGAACCGTTATGAACCGGTTCAGTTCCAACATTTATTAGTTATTTGTTGGTTCGGTTCATATATCTTATTAATGGTTCAATTCTCGTTTACTAAAAAATACACCTAAAAACGTTAAGGAACCATTATATATAATAATTAAAATTTTACATATTTGTTATTAGTATATACTACTGTATATTTATGTGTTTATATTTATATTACACTGACCATTTTAGTTTAGTTATTTAAGTGTTTAACATTATTACTTATTTGAACGTGTTTAACATTAGAGGTCCAGATGATCGGAATTGAGTGCTCTACTCGTGACCAGGGATGGATCCAGGATTTGGAGTTAAGGGGGGCGAAATTTTTTTCGTTAGTGTAGTGGGTGAAATTTTTTTCACTAGTGTAATCGGGCGATTTTTTTTTTGCTAGTGTAGTGGGCGAATTTTTTTCCGCTAGTTTAGAAAGGCTTTGCGGCTAATTTTTATTAAAAAAGAATTCATAAGTACATACATGATATTTAAATACTCCCTCCATCCCAGAAACAACTTCTCGCTTTCCTTTTCGGACAGTCCCGAAATTAACTTCACACTTCTTCCCAGTTCCTTATTTGGCAAATTCTCTACATTCAAAAAGTGTCAAACAATACCAAACAGTGCCAAACAATGTCGAAACAGTGTCCATACAGTAAAATTTATCCCCCAGCATGTTTATCTCCTTAATATGTGTGAAAACGAAGTTTGAAGTTGTTTACGGGATGGAGGGAGTATATTACGAGCTCGTTTGGTGACCCTTTTTCGGCTCATCAGCCAGCTTTTTCATCAAATACGTAACTTTTTATTTCGCGCGCTGGAGTTTATAATAAGCGGAAAAAGTAAAGTTAGAGTTACTTTTTTGGCTGTATTGGCTGAAGTTACTGTAGAGGATCATTTTAGCTATTTTTCATATAATTTTTTATTTAATTTATTAATAACATATATTTTAAATATAATTTTTTCATGAATCAGCAGAATCAGCCAATACAGCCACTTCAGCCAGAACTTCATAAATTTCAGCAGAATCAGCCAATTCAACAAATTTTAGTGTCACCAAATGGGCTCTACATTCTAAGTTTAGACAATGAACAAATAACTTTGATTTTATAATTGTAAGTGCTTTAGAAAAAAGTATTGATACATTAAAGCGTAAGAAATAACAAATTAAAGGAAAATTATTTGAAAATAACAAAGGATATATAACATTTTATCAAATTATTTGAAGGTAAAGAGTTTAAAAGGTGCACAACCACCAATGCTTTTTAAATAACTCATGTCATGTTTAACAACATGAATCTTATCAGTAAAAGGAATTGATTTTTGAATTACAAATTTTGTTTACCAAGAAGGGTGTTCGTGAGTCATGAGGATAGTATGTACGCAGTATGATATTATTATTTTTAGAATAATATTATTGAATTGCAAATTTTGAATTGCAAGTTTTGCTAATATTACAAAAGTATAGTATGTACGGAGTATGAGATTATTATTTTTAGAATAATATTATATCGTTGATTCTTAGATTGATGTCTTTTCTATCTTTCCTCTCTTTTTTCTTTTATCGTTTATCTTCTTTATCTTTTTATATTCTTATGTTATTTTTATCTTCTAGCTTTTTTATGCTCTTTTATTTTTTCTCTTTTACCTTTCTTATATTCTTGTGTTATTGTTATCTTATATTTTTTTCTTTATTTTATTCGTCTTATCTTACTTCTTTTTCTTCCCTTTCTTGTCTATCTTCTCTGTTTGGCATCGATATCATAGATCGATTCATGTTAGCCGACTCCAAATTCTTTTGGAAATAAGGCTTGGATGTTGTTGTTGTTGTGATAAAATAAGTTGAAATTTATTATCTATGCAATAAATTATTTTTAAAGAGTAAGAAGTAAACGAATTGTGTAATTTTAGATTCATTTCACATGATCGAAAAATTGTTTAACTACTGTGTCGCGTATATAATATTGCTTGATATTTTACAAATCGAGTAATAATTATCTAATAAATTAAAGATAATTAAACATTTCAAAACTATGAATTTTTATATAATAGGTATCCTAAGTCTTGAACAGTGAGTTGTTCTATTGTATATTTGCTTAAGTTATGTAAATTATTTTAGATGTTTCATCTTTCAAATCTCCAATTAAGTACTAGTATTATATAATGTAAGACTATATATTAATTTTGAAAACTAAAAGTTAAGGGGGGCGAACACATATATATCTAATTAAAGTATAAAAATTTTATGAAAATATTAAATATATTGTAGAAAAATTTGAAAGTCCAAGGAGGGCGGTCGCCCCCCCCCCCCCCCCCCCCCCCTAAATCCATCCCTGCTCGTGACCCTTTGAGATGAATGATTTTTTTTGCTGGCTTATTGCGTTGTTTATTCAAGATCATAATAATTGATTGTAATGAATATGTTAGTTTGTTTTATTTACTAAAATTTTCAGTTTGATATGTATTTATGTTTTAAACTGAACTTTTGAGGTTTGAAATGATTCTAAACATATTTGTATTTCTTGTAATTTCAAACGTTGAATGCTTTTTGGCACAAGTTTAAAGGTGATATGTAAGATTTTTTTTAAAAGTAAGAACCGTTAAATGACAAGAACCAAACCGTTAAGAATGGTTCGATTCCATATAAGTTCTATAAAAAATTTATAAAAATAAACCGTTATTAAGATTTGATATTTTTTTAATCGCACTTTTAGTCCCTAAAATAGTCACCATATTGAAATGTCAGACCCGTGTTCCCTAGTTTGTAAATGTCACCTCTCAATTGTCCAAATTGTAGTAAATGTGGTCTTTTAAGGGGTGAAATGTACAATGTGGGCGATGAGTACATTTCACCCCTTAAAGAGCCACATTTACAACAATTTGGAAAATTGGGGGTGACATTTCAACGACTAAAAGTGCGATTTTTTCCTTTTTCAAACGTTTCCATCTATTCTGGCCAGGTAAGAATGGCCTAGTTTTGAGAGACGTATGAAGTAACAATTACTCTCTCCGTCCCATTGAAATTTGCCAACTTTCCTTTTATGGTTGTCCCAAAAAACATTGTCACTTTCCTATTAAAGCCACTAATTTGTGGTTTTGCACATTTCTCTCTTCTCTGCACAAATTTCAACGACACAGTTTTTACTATTCTTATTCCGTAACAAATTTTCTTGATACGTTGTGTATAATTCTGGGCCACTTAGGGGGGTGTATTGTATTAGGAATTAGTGACAAAATTTTAAATGTCCATGAATTTTAAAAGTTTAGGTGTATTCAATGTGGACTTTTAAAAATCTACAAAAGTCTAGGTGTATTCAATGTAGACTTTTAAAAGTCTATAAAAGTCTAGGCATATTCAAAGTTCCGTTCATTCTTATGGATTTCTAAAATCATGGATTCTCGTGGACTTTTAACTCATTTTTAGTACATTAATTCTCTTCGATTGTCTCTTCTCCTCACTAAAGATTTCCGTGGACTTTTCTTATATCGGTTTTTCATCCCGTCCCCCACCCCACCCCGCCAACTCTCCTCTTCTTTAGCCAAGTCACTCCTCCCCCTTCGATCTTTCTTCTTCTTCAGCCTAGCTCGCTCCACCCCCCCTCGATTCGTTAATCCCATACTGGTTCGATTCTAGAAGTTTCTAGAAGAACTGGTATAAGAATCGATAATATTACATCAGTGCAATTCTGGTACGTCGTCACTTAATCATTAAGAAAATAAATATTTTAACTATTACTTTCTTTCATCATTAAATCGCTAACACATAAAAATATAATTTCAAATTAATAAATATATAACCGTAAATAAGTACACAAATTTTTACAAGATAGAAATGAAAATAAAACAATTATTAAGAAGATTGCAATTGTGCTTGTACCACATGTAGCAATGAGTGTAACGATTAATGTTCGTACTCATTAATAAAATGACCAAAATTCTTGAGCATTCTTGAAACTTTGAGTTTTTTTAATAAAAATAAATTTGGATTCTTATGCTTCATTTATTCTTGTAGAACTTTGTGTTGCTATATGAATTACATTTGTTTCATTTAATTAATTATTTATTTGTTTGTTTATTTGTTTCTTATCATACTCTGTATTATACAAAGGAAATTATTCAGGGTAGGACTAAAACATACGGAGTAGCATTCTTCTTAAAGTATGATCATATGTTTGATTTTCCTTAAATAGGACTAAATATTTACATATTCACCCCTAATTTATTTAATTAATATAAGTAATTATCCATAATTCCCTTGCATAACCAAATCGACTTTGTTGGTGGCGGATCAGTCCGATGACGACAACGGGGAACTCAAGTGACGGAGGCGGACGGGCAGATCGGTAGTGGCGGTCTAGGTGCAAATTTCGACGACCAGCAGTGGTGGTTCGCATTTAAAAGTCTATGGACTTTTTGAAAGTCAATAAACTTATCCATGAATTTAAAAGTCCATAGAATTCATTCATAAAAAAGTCTATGGATTTAAAAGTCCATTGACTTTTTTAAAAGTCCACGGATTAAAAAAAATCCACCACAATCCATATTCAATACATCCCCTTAATTTATATTCAAAATCTGGACGTCTTTGTAGTTGCAACAAAGTAGACGGTGCCTGCTGCAATTTCTTTATATCCTGCCACATTGGCCACGGCCGGTGTATACAACTTAAAAACCCTAGATTCGGCCATAATAATTTAGCACAAGAGAAGTTCTCTGAAATCCGATTCTCCTCTGAAAGCAACTGAATCTCAGGTAATATATTCGGATCTTCTCCAATTTACGGAATTTTTGAATCGCTATATAGGTGAAGGGACGAATCTGCGTATAGGGTTTGTGGAAATTGAACCCTAGCTGTGCTGATTATTCAAGAGAAGTTACAGTTGACCCATTAATGTGCGTGTGAATTTTTTATTAGTTAATTGGATACGATTTTGCATTGTGGGCTCAAGTTGGTTTCTACTAAAATATTTCGCAACCAAAGCTCAAATAATTTTAAAGGGTTGTGATTTTATACAAGTCTTATGAAGTGCCTTTCTTTTAAACTCCGATTATATAAGTGCTATGTAAAATCTTAACTTGAGCGTTACTTTGATGTGAACCGCTCATGCAGTCTTTGAGCAAGTGTCTTTTGCTTGCAACATTAAAGCTGCTACTTTTAGATGATTTAGGACCAATTCAGCGCACTACAAGCATCTTTTTCTTAGTATCTACACTTTGAACTGCCTTTTTTGGGTGTGTGGATGATTGGGTGTGTTTTCCAGTCACTCTTGTCTTTCTGGTGTTCTGTTACACGTTATTCACTACTATTTTTTATAGTTTTAACTTATATCACATTGAGGATAATCCAGGGGGCTCTTCAATACTTTGGTAGCTTTCCAGCATTGGGTTTCATAAGTTTTATGACAATATGTTTCTAATCATTTTTGAATTTAGAGGTGAATATGAGTTCTCTAATACATGTGTCTGAATATTTGTGATGACAAATCTATGACAACATTGTACATACTCATTATTTCGTAGGCATTTTTTTTTTACTAAATAATGTCTCTAGTTTACCTTACACTACTATGCAAAAGGAAAATGCACTTTCATTCATGGAGATGTTACTTGAAATCATGACACAGATGCTTTGTTTATGATAGATTTCAAGCGCTTGGACACAATTGAGCTTTGGAATCATACATTTTGATTTGTATGCGGGGAGTGGGAGATTCCAGGGTGGAATTGTGGTTTATTTGTAAATACTGATTACTGAGAGGTTGTTGCACATGCTTAGAAGATCTTTCATCTGCAAAATAATTAGGCATCACGAAGAAACCACTTTATTTAAAATATATATATGTTTTGCTTTAGAGCTCATGAGCTTGGAGCTTGTGGAGCGCTGCTCAACTCAAGGATTGCTCTTTCGGTTTGCTATGGAGTCATACATAGGGATATGTTTTTGAAAGAGAGGGAATTCAGGGTGGCATTTTGGGTGTTTATATGTACTGGCATGTTACAAACTCGGAAGAGCCTTACGTCTAAAACTTTTAGGCAGGATGAGGAAACATACTTTTAGATCTAATGTTTTATAGCTTTGGAGCATATGAGCTTGGAGCATGTGGAGCTCAATTGGAGGGTTGCTCTTTCGGTTTGCTTCAGAGTTTTTATTTGCATTTAACTTATACTGTCATGTCAAATACAACATAATAAAAATTATTATGCCACTGTAATAGCTTTTTGGATAAAGAGCTCACACTTTAAGATGATCATTTGTTTATTTTTGCAGTGATTTTCCCCATAGTTAACGATGAGTAGTCGTATTTCTCGTTCAATCTATGTGGGAAACCTTCCTGCAGATATCAAAGAACATGAAATTGAAGACTTGTTCCATAAGGTTTTTTCCTGCTCTTGCCCTACAACAATATAATGATTTGTTATTGTAGCATGGTTAAGCAATTATTTCTCATTTTGAAGTTGAGAGTTGCATTTTCATACTGACTAATTACCTTGTATTAATTTTAGTATGGGCGTATTCTCGATGTTGAACTGAAGATTCCGCCTCGCCCACCATGCTATTGTTTTGTTGAGGTGATAAGTTTTCTCTTTTTGGCATAATCATTTTTCTTGATTCAGAATATATTTTTTTGCCATTTTTTCTTGTAATTTACATCATTTTATTCTCACTTCCTCTTTCATCAAGTATTGAAGCTGTTGTTAGAGTTAGGGCTAAGTGAGTCACACTTTCCACCCTCAATTTACACCTTTCTAGCCCCCATTAAATAAGTTAAAAATTTGCTTTGCACAAAAACTAAGACAGAAGTCAACTTGAGTTCGAGGCATGCAATTTTTAACATGGTGATTGCTGAATAGAGATTAAAAAGAAAGTTAAAAAATATATGAGTTACAAAATTATACGGAGTATGTGTGAAGAGTAAAAATTATTAATTTATCAGGGACCTAGAATTTAAAATACCATATTGAGAGCGATAAAAACATATGTGAGTCTCTTTTATGCTTACCATTACCTCTCCACGTCCTTTATATGTATTACATGTTCGGTTTACTTCTCTTCATTGCCTGCATTTTATTTGGCTATTTTCTGCTTGACCATTGGAATCAATAATTTGAACTTGAGTTTCAACTTGTTCAGTTTGAGAGTCCTCGACAGGCAGAAACAGCTATCAGAGGCCGAGATGGCTACAACTTTGATGGGTGTCGATTGAGAGTAAGAAAACGTGTGAAATGAATTGGTTATGTTCGCTTTTTTTCGTTGACTGATTTTTTGTTTATTCAAATGACATAGGTTGAGCTTGCTCATGGTGGAAGAAGCCTATCATCTTCAAGTGATCGTCGTTATGGGTATAACGATCGGGGCAGTGGTGGTGGTGGTGGTGGTGGAGGAGGAGGAGGAGGAGGAGGAGGAGGAGGGCGACATGGCACTTCTCGTCATTCTGAGTATCGGGGTACTACTATATGACTCGAAATAAGAAACATGAAGAAGTGTTGAAATTTTCCTTTATATGATGATCCCCATTATATATGCTTTGATAAATTGTATTTGATTAAAGCAGTTATTGTCCGGAGTCTTCCTGATTCAGCTTCCTGGCAGGATTTGAAAGTAAGTAAGATGGTGTCTTGAAATTTTATTTTCATTTTCAAGGGTTACTTGATTGCATGTTGAAGTTGGCAGTGATGTGGGACAATTCTGTAGGACCATATGCGAAAAGCAGGTGATGTGTGCTTTGCTGAGGTTTACAATGAGCGTGAAGGTATTATTTGAATATTATTGCACAGGGGATCTGTGTCATTGTATTTTAAATTTGATAAAACATGTTGAGTTTCATTTTCGTTTTTATTCATCAATTCACTGACATCAAATTGTGTGTGATGTAAACACCATCCTTAATGGCTTAATCATGCTAGACTCGACCTGTTTATTACTGTATCTAAAATTATACAACTCCAGAAAAATGTTTGGCTTTGTTTTAGGAGCCTAGCGGCGGTGGTGAGAAAATATTACAACTTCCTAGTCAGAATTTCATTAAAACAGAATTACTTGGAAATTTGACTCTTTAAACTATTGTTTTCTATATTTGAATGTATCAGCAATAATTAAAATATTCTCTATGTTTTATGCATGCATGCACTAGCTGATCTTTGAACACACTAATCTGGTTTTGTTACTAGGAACATACGGCCTGGTTGATTATACAAATTATGAGGATATGAAATATGCTGTAAGCTAAACTCTCTCTTAAGTATATTTTCAGTTTTATGTGATGTAGGCTCTGAACCGCTAACTCTGGTTAATTTCTGTTTTCTAGATTCGGAAACTTGATGATACAGAGTTCAAAAATCCGTGGGCCAGGACTTATATCCGGGTATTTATTTATTGATTGATAAAACCACAAATCCGTTGACATTAATCATTTGTTAATTTCTTGACAGGTGAGAGAATACAAGCGACATTTGTCAAGAAGCTATAGCCGTAGCCGTAGCCGTAGCCGGAGCCGGAGCCGGAGTCGGAGCAGAAGTAGAAGCAGAAGCCCAAGGAGAAAGAGGAGCAGATCGGATGATAAATCTGTTTCCAGATCGCCACCCCCACGCTCTACATCTGCATCGCCCGTCAAGCCATTGCGGTATGTGAGACATGGTTTTTTTTGTGGACGTTGTGTATTTATTCATTGTGAAAGATCTGTTATTTTTTCTTACCACTTTGGTTTTTTTATCTTTGCATAAAATCAGTCCCATATCAAGGTCAAGGTCAAGGTCAAGATCAAGGTCAAGGTCAGGGTCTAGACCCAGATCATTGTCGGCTTCTCCCCGTCAGGTAAGACTTTCACTTGTACAAATTGACTCAAACTTCTATTTTTAAAATTAAGGAAAATTAGCCTTCGTAACACTTGATTTATTTTCGGGGATATGTACCCTGGTGCATCGTGGTCTGCAAAGTCAATTAGTGAGGTAAATTTTCGTACACGAAAAAAGAAATTATCTACTTGGTGGTTCATCTTGTAAAGATGATATCACACAGGGTGCAAAGCCATATATTGAGGTGCTACATGCACTATGAAGACCACTTATCCCTAATGTCATCAACATCCCAAACAACTCACTTTATTGATCAAGTGACCAGCTGCTATCCAATTTCACCGATTGAATGGCATTCTGGTGAAATTACCATTTTGCCCCCACTATAGGGTGCAAATAATTATGGTATAGGGATAACATCATAATTTAGCCTCCTAAACATCATCCAGGGGGATAAAGTTTCTATTAAATGAACAATTACGTTTTATACTTTGTTGACAGCCATGGTGCTTTTGGAACTTGTAAAAATTAGTGGAAGAATAATTAGAAGGAAAATAGATGGGATCTGGGTTAGTTGGAAATAAAATAACTTTTATTCCAACTCAGTAAATAAAAAAGATATATGTTCGAACTCATCTTATTTCTATTTTATACTCCGTATTTCTCTGACATAAACACATACATATAGATATATCATATACGGAGTATGTAGCACCAAGTATTTATCTAATATGTAATACGGAGTATGCTCTAATCAAATATGACCTTCATATTTCACAAGGTTTAAACCAAATATAAAAACTACTTTAGCACAAGTCTTCATATCTTCAATATAGTACTAATGATTCACAACTCATTGTATTTTTCAGGCAAATGCAAACAGTGGGTGATTTGCCCTTCGTGCTTGTCTAGCTCGAGTCAACTTCTTTGGGGGTAGGATTTCTAGAGGTTTTGCCCTTCGTGCTTGTCTTGTCTGGGGCTGAGTCATAAACTGAACCATTATTTGAAATTTAAGTTACTGAAGTTGAGGTCATTTCTGTCAAACTCGTTAATTGTGTTGACATTTTGTGTCTGATTTTGGAGGACTAGGAATGATGGACCAATTCTTACGCTTCTAGTTTGACTGGTTTGTAATGATTATGCCCTGGTGTTTCTGTTTTGTTACTACGTAACCCCCCATTAATCTGCATTAGGAACTTATGAAACTATGGTCTTCAACTTATTATATGCAACGAGCTGCTTGTAAGCCTTAGGTCAACAATGCCAAGCCTGAGTCATGTGCAATCTCTGAGCGACCCATATTTATACTTCATTAGGGCACATTGAGTTTGGCTATGCTCAATCTAGTTTAAGCTTGAAATGCTTTGGTGTTTGTTAGATCTTAAAGCATAATCGGGTGGGCTCTAGGCCTTAAGCTGGACCTGCTTTTTTTTTGGGTAACATTAATGGTGGATCTGGAATTGGTATCCTTGGGTAATGGTCTTGCTTCCAGTTCTTTAAAAGATCTGATCTGACATGCTTGGATTGGATTTGTTACTGCTGTTAATGAACCGAACTTTCTTCAACTTACTCGAGTTCAATTTTGAACTTAATGATCCGAGCTTTGAACTTAAGAGCTTCGAATATTGAATGCTTATAAACTACGAGCCTATTGAACCCTTGTGAGTTATTGCCCACAGGGCGATCGTTGGAATTTGGAATACATCCCAAACGGCTAACAAATTGGATAAGGTAAAATAGGAGTCCAATGCACTTTGAAAAAGAATCACTCAAATTTGGAAAAAGTTTTGGTTTTATGTAAATCAAACTATGTAAAAATTATTGAATTTCATCACAATGTTCCTTTTTTTTGTGGCTCCTCTCTCTAGATAGTAATCTTGGTGAGGATTTTTGGAGACAAAATCCAAGTTAAACCTTTGCACAACTTTTACTGCCAAAATCCATACCAAAATGCGTGATACATAAAACATAGCAAAATTTCATCCCCAAGCCAAATTGTTTAGTCTATTGATTAGGGGTGGACTTGGGTCCGGGCTGGGTCTGGGTCGGGCCTAGGCCCGGGCGGGCCGGTGGTTCAGGAGTGGTGGACCCGGGACCGGCTTGGGTAATCACCGGGTCCGGTCCGGACCCATTATCAATTTTGGCCTGAATCAATTTTGATAATCGAGCTTGGGCCTGGCCAGGTCGGGCCTTGTTTTGGGTGACTCGAGCCCGGACCGGAAAACCCACGGGTTGGGCCTACCTGGACCGGTCATTGACCGGGCCAGGTCACCGAGTCAGGCCGGGCCAGAACAGTATCGAGTCGGGTCGGTTCCGGGTCGGGCCACCCCGGCCTGAGTCCATCCATACTTTTGATACATACGGAGTATATGGTTAGAGTCCTAAAGGCTAGAGATGGTTCTCATAGACATGGTTCACAAATCACAATCATGTTTGTTCTTGTTTTAATGTATTGGGCACTCCATTTGATTACCTTTAATTTCAATGTGTTTAGTGGTGTGATTCCCACTGAAGTATTTTGTTATTCTTGCACCCGATTTTATTGTCTATAATTCAAATTTCAAACCTGTTGCGTAGCTTGGTAAATTTAAATTTCATTATTCAACAATCAACATGAACCTCATTAAGTATGAACCAAGTAAGAGATACTACGTAATTCCTAAAGTGGGAGTGAAACAATTTAAAAGTACAAAATAGCAGTAGATAATTTAAATTCAAAGTAAGAGTAGAAGATGTGAATAGATAATGTCCTTCCGGACTTCCGGTGTATAACTTTGACATACGAAACGCAATCACCTCCTGACGTCGCCGTTCGACCACAATTGTTGTGTTGAACTTCGATGCCTCTGTCGAGTAGTTAATACTAGGGGTGGACCGGGCCCGGTCCGATTCCGGTTCGGGCCTGGGCTCGGCCGAGCTTGGATTGTTTTGGGTAAGGTCCGAGACCGGCTCGGGAGTTTGCCCCCATCCCCATCCCCCCACCCCCAAACCCATCGGAAACACCCAACCCAAACACATAAAACAAAAAAAAAGCCCGAATCGGGCTCGGACCGGCTGGGCCGGTTCACCATTTTGGAGTCCCAAAACTGCCCCCCGGTTACCCCCCGGCTCGGGCCTAAGCCCGGTACCGGTACCGGTCACCCGGGTCGGGCCGGTCCCGCACAGTAGCGGGCCGGTTCCCGGGCCGGTCGGACCGGACCGGATCCATGGCTAGTTAATACTGAATTTTATGGACGTGCTTACTTCGCTGCTTAAGTCACACTTACACAAGAGGTGCTCAAAGTGCCGTTTACTAAACATACCACCCCCATGTATTAATTAAGTGGCACTTTAAATTTTTCAGTTTTTGAATTTATTACAAAAATGCCACCGCGTCTAGCATCTTTTTTAAAAATATTTTTTGCACTTTCCCGTGCACTTTTTGAATACACATTTCAGTTTTTGAATTTATTACAATTGAGTTTAAATTTTTATTCTGCACATTTCAATATCATTTTATACACATTTCAGTTTCATCAAATGCACATTTCCGTTCCACATAATACAATCTAACGGTCCAGATTCGTTCTTATTTCTTTCCTGAGAGTCCGTTCTTACCGAATAAAAATATATATATACATATATATATATATATATATATGTGTGTGTGTGTGTGTGTGTGGTGTTAAATTAACTTTTAAAAAAAATTACCAAAAAAATAATATGGCGCCATCACCTGTCACTTCATATTCTTTTGTTAGTTACAGTTTCCTTTTTATCATGTAATTTAATTTTTTCTACACCATTTTTTATAAATTTTCTTTTTAAAAATACTCTATTATTCTTTCTTTTTTTCATTTTTTTCATACTTTTATTCTACCTTTTCTATACGTAGTGCTATTCATTACTCATACTACGTACTATTTCTGCCATAAATATTGTGTCAAACTTATTGTAGCAAACAAAAAAAAGAAACTGAAACTGAAACTATGAAAACATACTACCAGTACTAACTATACGTCTATACCTATGAAACAGTTGACAACTTGACATCAAATACCGGTAACTTCTATGTAAATATGTGGACGTAGCTCAATTGGTAGTAAGGGAATGCCACAAGGGTTAGGTCCCGGGTTCGAATCCCGTCAACTGCGATGAGAGGTTACTATGCTAAAAATGCATAAGGCCTCTGCAAATTCCGGGGACAGAGCCCCATTCTCTACCTGTCAGATTGGGATTATAGTCCAATTTACATCCTCCCAACGTACCGTCCGGTCGGGGTTGGAGGGCCCTCAGGGATGGAGTGTCATCCTTTTTTTCTATGTAAATATTCATAGATTCCGCAGAAAGGAAAGGCAAGAGGTGCAATTTGTACCCGGTCCCGGTTTCTATTTTTGAGACCAAACTGGGCAGTTCTAATTCTGACTGGTAATTTTTTTTCCTCCTTGGAACCGGACTATATATTTTTTTGAACCAGTCAGGAACCGGGACAAGACCAGGTACCCGGGACAGGCCCAGAACAAGAATAATACGGGTCAGGGTCAGGCTTCATAAAAAAAATGGCAAAGACCGGGCAGTCTAGGCTTGGAACTATCACCGGACCGCGGGTCTATCCCTAGCTGCAAGCCTACAAAAAAGTTTTATAGACTATTTTTCTCTTCTGATTCCTGATCTACAGACTTTATTCATAGGACTTGGAATCTCATAACGACTACAGTTGGTTCAGGGCTGTAGTCGTGAATGCAATATGCCAAAAAAGTTAAAACCAAATTATGAACTCGTGAATGCAATTTGCCAAATCTCTAAAAACGCAAATATTTGATTCAGAGCTGCCAAAACGTTTATAAATAAACGCAGGAAGCCTTCCACTGACATCAAATGCAAACATCCATGGAAATCACAGAGCACTAGCAAAACCAACCATCTTCAATAATCTGATGATACCTATATTAAAAACTAATCCCAGAAAGGCAGAAGCAATTCAACAAATAAGTGTGCTATTAACTAATTTTTGTGATCAAATCAACACCAAAAGGATTACTTGTCTCCCGGGAATATCGGAATAATTTAAACCATATTCCCTAAAATCTATAACAATGGTTTTACATTTTCGTGCAGCAAACCTCAAAATAATGCCAAAAATGGGCGGATTCCCTAAAAGGTCAAGCAAAATATTTGTTTAAGTTATCATCACTTCTCTATCCTTGTGTCCTTATTTTCCACAGAAGAAGAATTTTCTGCATCATATTGCTTCCCAAATCCGAGTTCTGACAAGTCTTGCTTTGCCATTAGGTTTCTGCAAACCCTCATCCATCCACGGAGCATTACTCACAATTCAAATTCTGAAACTCTCTTATAAGAAAATAAAATCCAGATGAAGCAAATGATCTTACTTCTCCATTCGACATTTGAGATACTTCTTTGAGAACTGTCTACACTTTTCTGATTGATGTCCAGAAGTTTTCAAACAGCCGAGGTAATCTTTTTTCTCCTGAAGACAACCATTACAATTAGAACCAATGAAGAATAATAGATCATGACCTATTCAGTAGGACCTATTCAGTAGGACCTATTCAAGATAAAACAGAACATATTACCTGTGACTAACAAGATCAGACTTGAACAAACCAGAAAACTTCAGTCCAAATGAACGAGTCCTTAGCGGTAGTTCCACCACTCAATAAACTAAGTTATCTTTGTTAATAAAAAATGCGAAGAAAATCGTCAATAGTTAACACCAACATACCGAGTCACATAAATGTGAGTGGTCTAGAGGAAAAACTCCCTTTTCTGGTGGCACGGGCCTTAATCCTCTATTTCCACCAAATGCACCTCCTTCAAACATTTAAGAAGTATCTATCAGATAAGCTTAGGTAATGGAAACAAATAAGGAGGGAGTGGCTTCACTCGTATTAGTCATTCACCCTTTGTATTAAAAGAGTATAGTGATTTTCATGAACCATCCCGAACGTAACCACAAAATGAGGGCCAATGCAACATCATTGTGCAGGAAAGAAAACTTCTACATAGAGACTCTTTAGCAGGACATTGGACTGAGCTCAGAGTAATTATACTAGATTTAAACATTAGCAAGTGAGCTAAATGGGAAAGTAAAAAGGTTTACACTAGAAAATTTAAGATTTTTTTAGCTTCCCTAGTCTTTAGCTCACCATAGTATAAATTCTCACTCTTCAGCAGCTCAGGAACAACTTTAACCTGATTTTTGTCAATTATTATTGCCATAGAATTGAAACTCAGGAACAACTTTATTAGTTCACTCTCAAATACTTCATTCCTCCAAAGGAAACAGGGTGACACTTCAATTTCATAATACAAAATATAAAAGATATATGATATAAAAGCATGACTATAAACAGCTAAACTAGTAAGAGGGAATTATTAGGATGTTTTTAAATGGACCGAAATTTTCTAGTTGGATCGGGTCTATTTAAGTCTGGTCTAATCTAGTAGACGTCTGGTGCATGTGTTTTTACTAATGTTTATCTAAAAGGGAAAGTATCAAGTTATTAGGATGAACATTGAAAATGAACTTAACTGGCCCCATACAGGGGCGTATCCACCATGGGGGTAGTGGGGGCAACTGCTCCAAGTGGATCTTGTGAACGGTACATTAAACGACACAATTATCCCAACTTTGCCAACGTTCTTTTGTAATCATCCTAATAACTTGATACTTTCCCTTTTAGATAACAAATTTATGATTCTTATTAATTTTCTCTCCACTACACAAACTTCAACAACACAATTTTTAGTTTAGTATTCTACATGCCAGTCAACATTGGAAAAATTATAAAGCACGGAGAGTGTATTTTCTGACAGATGTTAAGGCACACAATGTATTCTGAATTTGTAAAAACAACAAAATCCCGTAGAAAGATAAAACATTTGACTGAATTTTGTGTGAAGCAATGTAAACAGTTGGAAAATATTTTCTCCGTCCCATTTTACCTGTCCTACTTTCTTTTTTGGATTCCCCAAATAAGTGTCACATTTCCCTTTTTGGAAAGAAATATGTGGTCTATACCATTTCACTTTATTATACTCAAACCTCAACCACAACTTTTACCTTTTCAATAACTTTATTAATAATTATACCAAACCTAAGTAGGTCACATAAAATGGGACGAAGGTAGTATTGTTTAATTATACCAAACTAATCAATACTGCAGAAGAGTTGTACTTTCAAGTAAAATTGTTTAAACAGTTTAGGTTAATTTGAATGTTTTTTTCTCAAATTTTGTATTGAATAATATTTTTATACACGCCACTAGCTCCATACATTAATCCATAAGTAATAATATGATAAAAGCTGGAATGGTGCCAGGCTGAAAATAAAAAATTACCTGCGCTCATTCTGAGAGATTGATAGTTTTCTTAGATCTTCTTTCAAAGTTGCCCGATGTCGCAGTTAAATCGTAGCCAATGCAGTGAGCATTTGGAGGGGCGGATCTAGCATCACAATCAAGTTCAGGTGAAATCACAAATAACATTAGAACTAAATGTGTAAAATGATCATTTTACCTAATCACCTTGTCACATTAATCAACCATGTAAACACAATAACGATGTGAAAAAACAATCACATATTCACATTAATACTAAATACTCCCTATAATTATAAATTGGTTAAAGCGATAAAAAGTAAAAATAAAACAGTAAATATAGTCTTTTTATTGAAGGATAAACTCTCATAGTCTTATTCAGTGTAAGTTGAATACCTGAAGTAAAAAAAATTGTAATACTCTCTGGCTGGCATCTAAATTGCTGGTCAATTGCTGGTTTTTAAGCTTTTAAAACCCTCAAAAGTAAAAACCAAGGCGTAAGTTTTAGGTAGCATTCGGAATCGGAATAAAAAACCAGGTTTAAGATTTCTATATTCATAACAAAGAAATCCTCAAATTCTTAAGAAAAATCTGAAATAAAAAATCTAACAAAAATATTACTGAAACTTGTAGACTTACCTGATATCGGAAGACTGAAGAACTGCTGGTTGCAGGCTCGGATGATTAGGGCGGCATACACCGACCGGCGTGAGTGCGTGACCAACTCGGAGTGACAGAGCCACAGAAGACGATGGGCGACCGTAAATCACTAAATCAGAAGGGCCGAAGTCTGCGACTTCCGACTTCGATTTGGGCTTGGGCTATTTTTATTTATTTAGGGCCTCTTGACAAAAATATACCCCCTACAATAATTTTGTGCCTGAGCCAAACATAATATTTGAGTTACTCTAGAGGAAATTGAAAGGAGTCAAACGTAATCGAAATTCTTCAATATTTCACATTATCAAGATAATTAGAAACAAATTCATATTTTATCTCAAATACATAAGTGCATTCTGAAATATAAATATAGTCAAATAAGTCATTGATTTAAAATGAAAAACGAGTCAAACAATCGCACCTTTAAAATTAAAAGTGTAAATACTAAGAGCAACCGCAATGCGGTAATGTCTAGTGTGGGAATAGTGCGCCACGTCAATAACTTAGACAACCTCGGTTTGTTTTTGCTTCCAATGCGGCCAGTCATACGTTTTTTCTTGGTGAGCTGGCAAATTTTTTAGACACTTTGCAAAGCAAAGTCTAAGTGTAGAAAGTCTGGAAAACTTGCTGAGTGGGACAAAATTCATCTAGAAAAGCCGTGGGTCTTGAAAAAATTCTAGGGAAACCTCAAATTAACTACTGCCAATTACCACATCCACTCAAATTAAGCCACATGGACAATTGACTTGGCCACAGACGGTATGCATTGGGAGATTTTTTAATACCTAAAGGTCTCGCTAGTTCACCTTGCATCATCTAGATTAGAAATCCATTTAATTAATTGACATATGGCATGTTTTACATGCACTAGACAAAGCCGCGTTGCGGATGCTCTAAGTACTCAAAGTTCTTGGATAATGTAGATAGAAAACAATACTTTAAAAGAAAAATTAAAAGTTCTAATACATATTTTCACCAAAGTTACAAATTTCCAGGGATAACTCGTGTTCCAAAAAGTCAACCTCCAATTCCAATTCATCTATGGAGGTTGTCAAACTCAAGTACTCCTATATCTTCCATGCTCCCAAAGTCATTCCCACCAACACACCACATTTTATTTGTCGTCTATATACGTAGTTTGTGTGCGAGATTAAAGCAAGGTAAAATTTATTTTTAGTTTTTCATTATTTACGAATTTTATCATGTAACTTTTGGGTGTTTTTTATAAAAATAAGTTGATACGTGTATCCGTAAGGATATGAGTATCCGGAATTTTAAAATAATTATCAAAAAGTTGGAAACTTTTAAAAAATTACAGACACGACTCGGAAACGTATGGTACGTCTATTTTAGAGTATTTGATACGAGAACTTTCCGATACGATCATACGGCGATAGAATACCCTAGTAAAGTATACGTGCTTCATAGCTACCAATGGAAGCTATTCAATCGGTGCTTGCTATCTCAGTTCTATTTACTTATTATTGTTCACCTCTAAGTTGATTGCGTTATTAATACTGTTTCTTATTATAAACTTATGCCTTTGTATCTTTGATAAAATATAGAAATATATAGATAGAGAAAAATATATCATATTTTTAAAACCAGATTAATAAATACTCTAATTGTTTGAATTATACTTTCTTATTAATGTCATTCAGTTTCATCAGATTATTTTATTCATGTTAAGTGTTACCTAGTATATTAGTGTTTAAAAAATCTCTTAAATTAAAAAAGAGGTAGCCTTGAAACTCTGTAATAATCACAACTAAACCTAAATCTAATATTCATATACCATTTCTATTTATCATTTCACATAAGACATCATTAAATGGTACTTTTGTTGTTCAAACTCTTGTTTTAAGTATATGATAGATAGTAGGAGTACTTTTAATATGCCCTATTTTATTTAGTAATTAGTTTTTATCGCATAATACACATCCATTAATTTTAATTTTGCACTTTTTATCGCATTGAGAGAATATATATATATATATATATATGTATATATATATTCTTGGTATTACCGGCCCTAGCTTCGCGATGATTTTGACGGCAATTTGGAGCGGCATTTCTGAAGGGCTTCTCAAGGTAGACCCAAACTGATAAAGGCGACGGTGCTATTAGGGAGTATCGGCGCTTCGATTCCTCCGCTGCTAGGTTGCGTTTTTTTCTTCGTTTTTCTCGTGTTTCGATGGATTTGTTTTTCTTCTCCGGGCGTGTTGTCCCGTGCTTTGTTTCCGGCTTAATTTTGGCTGAGGTTGATTGTTGTTTTTCTGCTCTGAACAAACGACGGCTGCTCCCCTCCTTCTGCCATGGAAAGCAGTGTTGTTCAATCATTCTATTTATCTTGTTCCGGTACTTTTAATTGCTTTGTGCTTGAAAATTCTGGTTTGCGCTGTGATGGAAATGATATCGAGGAATGTTAGCATGTTGTCAATTGCCGAGGAAGAGAATCGGGGGTTGGTGATAGCGGCTGATCCGTCATAGAACGCGGATGAGATTACAAAGGGATTCAATCTAATGGCTGTGGCCAGAGTGGTCACCGACAAACCTGTTCGTAGCGTTTCTTTGTGCCAAACAATGGCTATGGTTTGGCGACTAGTCAAAGGAGTATCTATCGATGAAATTGAGGATTCTAAATTCCTATTACAGTTCTATCATGAAGGCGATTTGAACAGAGTTGTTGATGAAGGACCTTGGTCGTTTGAGCAGAATCTTGTGATTATCAAACGACTAGGGTGCACTGATAAACCTCTGGAGGTTTCACTGGATCATGCGGATTTCTGGGTTCAGGTTCATAACCTACCCTTAAGCTACATATCGGCAAGGGCAACTCGTGGTGTAGCCAATAGTATTGGATCGGTTGTCCAAGTGGATGAGGGCTCCCTTGGTGGAAAGCAAAGGTTGGTTTTGCGCTTTAGAGTCACGCTTAATATTACTATGGCTTTGACTAGACACTTACAGGTTAGGCAGGAGGGAGATAGTTGGATCTGGGCAAATTTTCGTTATGAGAGACTCCCGAATTTCTGCTTTCTATGCGGGATTCTCGGTCATGTTGATCGTTATTGTCCATCTAATGTGAATGGCGATTTAGGGACCGGGGAGAAGCCTTATGGACCATGGTTGCGGGCTGATATGAGATGGGGAGGATCGCATTCGGGTAACATGTGGCTTATTCCTAGCACTAACAAGCTAGGAGATAGACGAGATGAGAAAGCAGAGTCCGATAAAGCAACAAAGGAGCAGGAAAGCTATATAGTGGAAGGACTCCTGTCAAAGAGGAAAGAGATTGCTACAACCGAGGGCACACCAAGAAAGCGTAGTGTCACTGAGAAGGATAGTGAGGTGGGGACACAGGCTAATATGGATGTGGATGAGGAGAGCCCAAAAAACTTGGAGGTGGCGGTGCTGCTAGGGCAGCATCGCCAATAGCAGGAGAATGCAAGGATAAGAGTGAAGTACCTTTAGCGGAGGCTGGTCAAACCGTTGTTTCCTTGCCGGTGGTTGGAAAACTGGATTATGTTACTTCTTTGATTGTTTACTTTTTCAGAACTCTGTTATGTTTTTTAAATTTCCTTTTAGTAGCAGGTGCAATATTGCTGTGTATGAAGTCTACCAAATTGCGGGGTAGCGAAATGGTCCGTTAGTAAGCGCGATTCCAGCTCTGAGTCTCATCCTAATGGAATCTTTATGATGGCGAACTTGTATCCGGTTCTCAGTTTTAATATTAATTAAGTTATCTTTTGCCAAAAAAAATCTTGATATTAAAGATCTTCAGGGTCTTAATTTATGAATTTATATTATGAATTTATATTAAGAAGGTAAAACATTTATTCCATCAAAAGTTTTGGGAAACGATATGAAGTGCGCAATTATTAGTGTTACATTATTCAGATACCAAATGAACAATTTTTTATTATATTTCTAGTTCTGCACATAACCAAATGAACAATTTTTTATTATATTTCTAGTTCTGCACATATTCAAAACTAAGATATTCGTCCCGGATTAAATTTAAATTTATATGGCGACCTTTTTTCATATCATGAGACTTATCAAAGAACTTTTTCACCATTTTTGATTTCTCACGCTGAATTATGCAATAACAAGAAAAAATAAGGTTGAAATTACTTTTCTGACTGTATTGACTGTACAAGATCATTTTAGCTATTTTCATATAATTTTCTCTTTAATTTTTTAATAAAAATACTATTTTGAATTATTTTTTTCCATAAATCGGCGGAATCAACCAATCCAATAATTTCAACCATAACTTAATAAATTTCACAAAAACCAGCCAAATCATCTAATTTTAATGTTACTAAACGAGCTCTCAATAGAAACATCATTCAGGGTATGTTTGGTCTGGGGTTATCTCACATTGAGGCCGGAATGTGATGCCTGGAATGTTAGATACCCGTGTTTGCTTCACGGTTTTGAGAAAAGATCGGGAAAGTTACATTCCCGGGAATGTAATATGGAGGGGAATGTTATACCCTTCCATGCCTTAGGTTATCTGACATTCCCGGGGATGATTTAATTTTCTTCCGAAATTATCCTCAAATAATTATCGCTTTTCATTTAATTTCTCTATGTATTCAACTTTTATCAAATTTGAATTTTTGTGATTTTATAAAACTTTTAATGTAGTTTCTAAATGTGTAACCTTTATTTACTAAAAATAATTTTATTATTGACAAGGATCAGTTAATTTTAAGGGTTTTTCCTTAAATATTACTAAAATATAAGTTATGGATAAAAATATAACTACGGTTAATACGCATAATCACTATGATGTAAAGTTGAACACTATCATGATCAATAAAGTTACTATTATAGTCACTAAGTCATATTTGTGTCCATTACCTTCGTTTCAGTTATATATTTGTCATTATTTCTTAATTTTATAGTCAGTCGAATATCTAGATTGTGTGACAACCTTTTAAGTGGGACGAATGGAGTATGTTTATTTAATTATATTCGAATGTCTATTCTTGTTATTTTCATAATTCTTTTTTCCTTAACATTTAATTTTTTAAGGTATTTATGCTTATAGATTATTTAAGTTTTTAATGTGGATTTCAAAATTTAATGGCAAAATTGATCATTTTATCTTTAATTTGAAAACAAGTTTTACGAATAACTTGAACATTTTTTAAATTTATTTTTTTTGAAATGATAATAAATATATTTAGATTGCTATTTGAACAGAGTTTTTTTTTTCATTTTTGTATTGGATCTACAACATCTTACGATTAAACCTACTTAAAAAATAATTCAAATAGATTTCATTTTATTTATTATTAAGATATTTCATTTTTTTGTTTAATTTTTAATTACTTCAGACATAAGTTGTAATATATTTATTGTGTTAAGAGAAAATATTTAAAGGGCATTGAGGTAATTCACCATATCTGTAATATAAGACATCTTTTAACCAAATAAATTAATGTCGCATTCCCTTGGCATTAAACAAACACAAATAAGGATAAAGTGAATACATTCCTATCAATCTAACATACATAAATCCACCCTCAAAGTTATACTACCTATAAAGTAATTCCTATTTTTGGTGCCGACTAAATTTCAGCATTCATCTACCGAACCTTTTTAAGTTTTTGTTCGTCAAACTAATGAGGTCGGCCATTTCCTACCACAAAAAGAGTAAAAGACGTACAGAAGTTGGGCTGCATTACAGGTAATGTCGTTGCGCACGGAACAGTACTTTTGCTGTTTTTTGTACATATATAGATAGATGATTACCTTATAATTATGGTTCCATAATATGCGATTCTGTTTGTTGGGTAACGTTTAAAAAAGAATTGAGAGATCCCCTCCTCACCTTACGTTTTCTTCTCCGCAAGCCCACCAACGACATTCTTGTCATACCTTCTCGCGATTCCATCCAAAACTTTATCTCCCTCTTTTTTATTCCAATTTTAAATCTTTTTTTCATTATTAGTTACTGCGTATAAAACTTATTGCACCGTATTTCTTTCCTTGTTCTGGCGAATTTGCCTCGACTCTTTCAAAACGTCACCGCATGAGGTTGGTCAAACATTTCGCCCCTTTCTCTCTCATTCGGTTTGTTTTTTTATGGGCATTTCTTCATTTCCCACACATGGTTTTCCCATTTCTGCTCTGGGTATTCTTCCATTTTCTTTTGATGAATTTGTTTTTGGCGTTTTGACTTGTTTTTTGTAGAAGAAAAAAAAGGGTCCGCGTTTTTTCGGGATTGTATTTTTATTTCTTTTCCAGATTAGGTTGTTGAAGGCAACAAAAGCCGGCGCTTTAGCTATCTATTATCCTCTGATTTTTTTCCTTTTTTCCCAGGTCAATATTTGGAAACGAACCCGAGTTAGAATTGGGATTTCTCTGTTCCTTTCTGTAAGACTTTTGGTGATGATCTTCTTTTTCACACAAAAATTCAACTTGTGTGTTCCTGTCCATATGGAATGACTCCTCTTTTATGATGATGATGATAAGTCTCTAGATCTTTTCAATTTAATGTATTGATAGATTATTTGGTGGGATATCTTTAAAGGAAACTCTTAAAAATTTAATCTTTGAGGGAGTTCCTGAATTAGTTTGAGAAAATATGGATTTGAAAACTAGCTGTGATGGTGACGAGGGGGCCAATAAAGAAAAGTTTGGGTATCAAGAAGGGGAATTTTTAGGGTCTAAGTTGAAGGGATTAGGGAGTGTTAGTGATAGGGGTATGGCTACAAGGAGCCCTAACAACGATATGATTTTCCGGGCCGATAAGATTGATCTCAAGAGTCTGGATGTTCAGTTGGAGAAGCATTTGAGTCGTGTTTGGTCGAAAAGTGTGGAGAACCAAGTCCTTAGGCCTAAGGAAGAATGGGAGATTGATCCATCCAAATTGGAGATAAGGTATCTCATTGCTCAAGGGACATATGGTACAGTTTATCGAGGTAGTTATGATACTCGAGATGTTGCAGGTATTCCCCAACCCTCCATTTGTTTAGTTCTCTTTTGTGCTGTTCTCTTTTTTCCGTGGTTTTCCTTGTATTAGTATAGCCTGTATAACATCATGTAGTAATTTCATCTTAGGTTTTATTCAGTAGCCTTATCAGGTTTGTTCGGCTTCTTATGCCTATTAAGCTCAATAGGTTGTTACTGACTAATACGGCTGAAATGATGTTACCAAAAGCTTTTAAGTTTTAACACTTTCAAGAAATTCAAAAGATTCATCCAGAACAAGTTCAGCCAAATAACCTTTAATAAAATGGACCCTTAGCTTCGTACTGGTCTTTACAATGCACAAATTGTATTGTTTTGTTTTAAAAATTTCCTGTTGGATTGGAAGCTCGTTCCCAGAATTAGCTCTTATTCCTACCTTTGGTACTGGGGAATTTGAGAAATTCGTATTCCAGGGTGTTAACAATTCCAACAATTATAGGCATGCAATGCATCTCTCACAGTTACCATGGGTTTTGCTCATTCCTAGGAATTGGATGACTTTTTGCTGTTACTATAGAAACTATCACAGTAAAAAGACAAGACATTATGATGAAATTTTCATTTGTATACATGAGTTTCTTTATTGTTCTGTGTTCCTTCTGGTTTTACATAGTCCCTATTATCTATCACGTGTTAAAGTTGCTCACTGCATTATTATTTTTGTAGTAAAATTGTTGGACTGGGGAGAGGACGGCATGGCAACAGCTGCTGAAACTGCTACATTGCGAGCATCTTTTCAACAAGAGGTTGCCGTTTGGCAGAAGCTTGACCATCCAAATGTTACAAAAGTATGCACTTTCTTCACACACTTCTCCTTGAAGCTTTGAGAAGGAGACTTTTTTAGTCTCCTATGAATGTTGATAATTGTTTAGTGAGTTCACTGTACATATGTGATGTCTACTCGGTTTGAGTCTAATGTATAAGTGATCATATGCTTTTCTGTCACTGGTAATATTTTTGAAAAATTATCTTCATTTGGGACGACCTTTGAAATATGACACTTTTTATGGGACAGGGAGAAAATAAAAGTTATTGCAAATCTCAATATGAAGAACAACCATTTTCTAAGAGCTGTGGCTAGCAACACTTTTAAATTAGTAATGACTTTCAAATTTCCAAATAAAAACAATCTCCATTGTTCGTAACACAAGATTTTATTCTAGTGTGCAAAATTAGTGCACTATTAATAAATGTTTTATCTATTTACTGAAAGAGATTCTGATCTTTTGTGGACATGATTTTAGAGCCTTAACTGCTAGTCCGGTGGTGGTTTATGAGATACCCACCCATTCAATGGTTTGGGTGTACGTGTGTTGGCCCTTCTTGTGACAACTTGAGTTGTTGAGCCCGAGTTCGGATGAGGGGCGTGTTGTGTAACCATATGTCTTGTGTCCGACTTGTGTCCAGGGTTCTAGTCTAGTCTAGTAAATAAAAGTGAAACAAACCTGGCTTCTTGAAGATCTTTAGGGGTGTGTTAAACGAAATATAATAAAAAAAGTGATGATTCTTATTTGCAGTTTGTTGGTGCTTCAATGGGAACTTCAAACCTCAAAATTCCTTCAAAAACCCCTTCCGAGGGCTACACCACCCTTCCATCAAGGTCGTGTTGTGTCGTCGTCGAATTCCTTGCTGGTGGAACCTTGAAAAATCTTTTGTTTAAAAACCGGAAGAAGAAATTGGCTTATAAGATTGTAATCCAACTTGCTTTGGATCTTTCGAGAGGGTAAGACTATATGATGTTCGTAATTTTTTAATTAAAATTATATATAATAGATTGGTGGGCGTGACTTGATTTTCCTTCATGGCTTTTTTTTGCAGGTTGAGCTATTTACACTCCAAAAAAATAGTTCATCGTGATGTGAAGGCTGAAAACATGTTGCTAGATACTAATAGAACTTTGAAGATTGCTGATTTTGGCGTGGCTCGGGTTGAAGCACAGAATCCTAAGGACATGACTGGTGAAACTGGTACTCTTGGCTACATGGCCCCCGAGGTATTCATTCTTTTGGATAAAACGTGTTATAAGCCTAAGGAATACCACTTAGATCAGATCATATACTAAAAGGTTAAATGCAATTGATTAGCTAGTACATCTCAAGAGCTTATAAATTTATGTTTGTCTTTGATAAGTCAATGTGAACACTTAGCAGTGGGTATATGGCTTATGCTTACTGTTTTCTGTTGATGATATTACTCAAACTGTTGTAAAGTTATAAATTTTACTTGGTGTGTAGGTTCTTGATGGGAAACCTTATAACCGAAAATGTGACGTATATAGCTTCGGAATTTGCCTGTGGGAAATTTACTGCTGTGATCTGCCATATCCGGACCTCAGCTTTGCTGAAGTATCTTCTGCTGTTGTTAGACAGGTAAAACTTTTGATAGCTATATTCTCCGTAGCAACAAAACACTCTGTAAATTGAATACAGTGATATACCATAGTGGTGGTGGAAACCAAGTATGCAAATATATTTTTTTGTTTAATATGGTTGCACTATTAAAAACAAAAATATATCTAAATAATGTCCTCCCTCCCTCATAGGCAATCAACATTAAGTAGACAATTTATTTTTTATGCTTATTATTGGATATTCATAAAGAGTGGGATAACAGATCTCATTAAGTTTAACTCTATAGATAAGTAGATAAAGAATTAAAAAAAAGTAGATAAAGATTAAAGATAATGCCATTTTATTTTCCATTATCGATTTCTCATTTTTATGCGATCGAGGTATGCCGACTAGATTGAAGGGTAGATTTTATAGGACAACAATTAGGTCTGCATTACTGTATGGCGTAGAGTGTTGGGCGGTGAAACAATGTCACATTCAAAAGATGAGTGTGGCAGAGATGCACATGCTGCGTTGGATGTGTGGGCATACTAGAAAGGACTGCGTGAGGAATGAGACAATCAGACAAAGGGTGGGAGTAGCACCTATTGAAGACAAGATGCGGGAGTCGCGCCTACGGTGGTTTGGTCATGTGCGTAGAGGACCGAGTGATGCACCTGTCAGACGAGTTGAAATGTGTGGAGAAGAGGCAGGTAAGAGAGGGAGAGGAAGACCCAAACAGACGTGGGTTAGAGGAGTTCGAAGTGATATGCTTCTTCTGGGGTTGGATGAGGGCATGACTTTGGAGAGAACTAAGTGGAGGGCGGGTATTCGCGTGAATGAGTGATCTCGTATCATCTTTTTCCCTCATCTTTTTATTTCCTTGTTTTTTATCCTTATATATATAAGCATTATTTGTAGCTTTTTTATTTTATCATTTTTATGTACATTCATCTCTTTTATATTATCTTTTTATAATAGCTTATCTTTTTTATCTTTATTTTCTTTCTTTTCCTTTTGGTTGTGATATCATGTATCGATTCATGTTAGCCGACCCCAATATCTTTTGGGACTAAGGCTTGAATGTTGTTGTTGTTGTTGTTGTAGTATTGATTTCTCATTTTTGAGATATAATATTGTGAATAATAACTGTGTAGTCCAACCACGGACCGGATATTCCGCTTCCCTTACAGCTCGTTTGGCTGATGAGAGTAAATTATTCTTTCCTAGTTTATTACTGGGAGAAGCGAGTTCCATGCTATAAATTGCTTTTAAAAGGAAAGCATTTCCTTCCATATTTGGAAAAAACAAAGCAACCCATTCTTTGGTATTGTTTTTTCCTGGATGGATTGAGAACAAAGATGCAGATGCTTAGACCAAAACGCCCTCACAGTATATAGTTCTCTTGTAACTTTCCACGTGGCGATATCGAAGCCGTTGGTTCCTCTATTTCTCGAGTATATAGTTAATGAAGTATCCGACATTGTAGCTTCTTTACCCACAAATCACCAGCCATATAAGAGATGCACATCCTGACTTTGTTTTCTAGGTTTTTAGATCGAGACTCATACTAAAGGCTCTTAAATGTTGTTAGGTTTATGTAGATTTCAAATTTCAATAGCTTCATCTCATATAATGTTGCATTTTTTTAAAATTTTCCAGAATTTGAGGCCAGAAATTCCGAGGTGTTGCCCGAGTTCATTATCAAGCATAATGAAGAAATGCTGGGACGTAAATCCCGAAAAGAGACCAGAGATGGACGAGGTAGTGAGGCTGTTAGAGGCAATTGATACAAGCAAAGGAGGAGGAATGATACCAGAAGACCAAGCTGGTGGTTGTTTCTGCTTCGCCCCAACTCGCGGTCCATAACTCTGTTTTTTTAAGCACAGCCCATTTTCTCTTTCACCGTTGCACCAACCAAGGGGGAACTTGTACACTTAATTAGTTCCTCGAATTGTTTAGGAGGGTTATTGGTTACTTTGTGAATGAATGAATCTGCAGAACTCGTTTCCATATCCATCATCATCAAATAAATATTGGCGAAAAGTTCCAACTTCCAACTTCTATTTGTGTTGATTTTGTTTTGTCGCGTCATACCCATTGCTGCTAACATTACTTTCATTTCCAAGTATATCAGGTATTCAATTTGTAGTGTTAAATTTGTTAATTGCATAAATGATTTTTGCTCCTACTCGCATTCATCGTTTGCCAATATTTTAGTATATGTTTATATATACTGAATGAAGCATATAGAATATAGACAGTGGTATTGGATTATGTCCCCTTCTCCTTTTTGTATTTACTCGATTTATTTTAATAAAACTGATACCTTTTTTTTAATTAAAAAGAATGTCAAAATACAAAAAGGAGGAAACATAAAGGAAACGTGAAAGAAGAAAAACAACAAACAAAAAGAAAAAACAACCCAAAACAACACTAATACACTATCCCTAGTAAATTCTGAGCCCCTTCGGTCAAAATCCTCAAATCTCCGCGTGTATTTGAGATCTCATCCTTATGTGATTTGAACGCAGTTTCTTATATCTAAATGGCCCCTTTCTAGTGTCCAAGTTTTGTGTGGGCACTTAGTTTTCTCGCGTGATGAGCAAAGCTTTGTAACATATATCCCAATTTAGATTAGAATCCTATAAATCCTCTACTGTCGAGATAATAACTCTCTTCTCATTCTCTGAGATATGATCAAGAATATCATCCCTTGAAAAGAAGAGCACGGATCACCATAAATCCATCCCAAGCGAATGCATTAGATTGAATATCCACAACATCTGACTCCAGAAATCTAATCTTCTCTTGATCAACACTCTCTGTAGTGGTCTCTATTCCCTGTAGTCTTTCATTCATCATGCGGTCCCAATAACAGATTACGATTATCCAAAGAAGAAGACCGAAGTCTCTGTATATTTTAGGAGATAATCTACATGCTTTTGTTTAGTAGCCCTCCGTCCCACTATAATTGTTGCATTTTTCTTTTTTCGTCCGTCCAACTAAATTTGTCTCATATCATATTTGGTAATAATTATGTGATGACTCTAATTCATTCTTATTTTATTCCTAACTACTTTATCAACTCACTATCAACCACATTCTACTTTTCTTAAAAATCGCACTATTCTCCTTTATTCCAATCTTAGGGGGACGGATGCAGTATTTCGCTTTATTTTTAACGGAGGTAGGGAGCCTTGAAGACAGTTGAAAAGAGCTACTGAGCTCATTTCCGCGTGAAGGCATTGAACCGCTCACAAATTTGCAGGTTGGAACAATCCTCTTCTGGGTTTGATGTATAGATTGAAAGTAAAAAAGATTAGTTTAAAATTGTTGATGAATTCACGATCGGTATTTCTGAAACTAAGGGATGAATTTTATCTGTTATGGACACAGATATTGTTAGGGCATCATGGTTAAAGGATTTCATTCCTAAGCTCTTTTGTATGAATATTGAATAGGTCTTCTAATAGGTTAATTAAAACTGAATAATGCATTTCTAAATCTCTATGATGTCAATTTCTATGGAGATTTTATCCGTATGGGAAAAATATTATAATACCCCAAAACTTTGAACGAGTGTGAGATAAGTATCCTAAACTTTCATACGTAATTTAAATACCCCGAACTTTATATAAAAAGTTATTTTACCACCGTGATCATATATTATTTCTTTCAAGAATGTAAATTTTTGGTGTTAATTGCATAGTTTAAAATAACAAATCAAAAACCCTACAATTATATAGAGTGGGGGTAGTATTATTTATTTTAGAATGGAAGTTTAGAATGTTTATTGTATCTTCATGAATGTCAAAATATTTTAAATTATGAAATTAACACAAAAAATTAACATTTTAAAAAAATAATGCATGACCATGGTCCTAAAAATAACTTTTTATATAAAGTTTAAGGTATTTAAATTACATATGCAAATTTGAGGTGCTTACATCACACCCGTTCAATGTTTGGGGTATTTTAATTATTTTTCCCTTGATAAAGGAAGAGACTCTTTGTTTTATAGGACTAAAACAAACAAGAATTATTTTAATTATTTTTCCCTTGATAAAGGAAGAGACTCTTTGTTAATTCCCTAAATAGGACTAAAACAAACAAGAAATGCACAAATAGGACTTCCATGTTTTATAGGACTAAAAGTGTCCTGAGTTTACAAAATTACCCTTAATGAATTTTTAAATCTATTTACATTTAAAAATAAAAAAAAATAAAAATGCTTTCTAAAGCCCTAGGTTCCACTGCCTCGTCCAAGATTCCAGATGTTGCCGCCGGCACTCCCAGCGCCGTCACTTCCAGTGCCGCCAAGCCTGACACCATCGCCGCCGCCATTCCCGCCGCCGCCGCAACCGGTTTTCAGTGAAAATGTCATCTTGCTGCAAAAAATATATTTTATTGACAACATAAATAAATAATTTTGCCATCTTTTAATAAAAAAAATGAACACTATATTGGCAGTTTCTCTTATAAAATTTGGAAGTTCGTTTCAAAGAAAACAATATTTTTCTGCCATAATTTCATATGCAAATCTGCCATATAATTGGCAATAATATCAAGTGGATGTCAAAATACAAATTTTCTGCCATCACCTCTTACATCAATTTGCCATAAATTTGACAAAATATGAACTCAATATCCAAAATCGAGGAAAACAGAGTTTTTAATGAAATAATTTTTTTTATTGAAATCAGATATTTGAACTATGAAATCAATGCCCAAAAATCAGAAAAGTTGATGGTCAAACTTATCAAACTGAATCAAATCAAAAAGTTCTACCAAAAAACCACAAAATCAATGAATAATTTGATTTTGTAAACATAAAACAGAGGAAGGAAAGGATGATGAGGAAGAAGAGAAGAAGAAGAAGAAAAAGAAGGAGAAAAGGAGAAGAAGAGGAAGGAAGGAAAAAGAAAGAAGAACAAACCTGGAATAAGGGGAGAACTTGAGAGTTGGAGGCGATGGTGGACAATCTGCGAAGACAAAGTTGACTGGCGGTGAAGAGAAATCAACGATGCAGAGTGAGGTGCAAGGGAGAGACGCAACGCAAGGAGAGAGGGTACAACCGTTTAGAGATGGGGATGAGAGGCGCACGGAGAGATGAGCGATAGAAATTTAGGGTTTTAATATTATTATATAGGAGGGTATAATGGTAATCCGTAGTCCTATTTAGGGAATTAAAGACGTTTGATCCTATTTGTGCATTTATGTTTATTATTAGTCCTATATAGGGCAATTACTTAATAGGAACCAACCCTTTTGTTATAGGAATTACAAGAGCAATATCTTTAGAGAAAATTCTCTAAATAGGAGAAAAAAGTTTTGAAATTCCAAAATAGAACTATAATGTTTTTTATTCCCTGAATATGAGTAAATTTTTGTCAAGTTTGACATTACTAGGCTTTACACATGACATTTTTTTCCAAACTTGGCAGAATTACTCCTATTTAGAGAATAAAAACATGAAAGTTCTATTTTGAAATTTCAAAACGTTTTTACTCCTATTTAGCAATTTCTAATATATTTACTAAAAGAATTTGTCCAAGCAGCCTACAGTGGAGATTGCACACGCTTTGGGGGAGGTGTGCACAGTGCACAGATGGTGTGGGATCAAATAAGTTTGATTTTGATCTCTTTCTTTTGGACAAGGGCTACATTCATTCTGGACAGAGCGATCTTTCCATTTCAGGAGCTTTGTTTCAATCTGATATCATACTAAGCAAGACTTGATTTTCAATGACACTAAAACATCCAACCAAACTCCTGAACTAGCTTTATGTATTTTCGAATATTAATGACTTCTTCCTGCTCACTTTTTCAAATGAGGTGATTTCACTGTCATTTTCTAACTAATGAATTTGAAAGACTTCTTGCTTGTGTTTCAGATAAACGTGATAACTTCATTTTGAGACCCCCTGATGAAGGGAAACCTAATTCTGTTTTAAAGAAAGCAGATGAACAACAGTTCAGAGGACCAGACTGCCCCAGAATCGGGATGATTTGGTAATTTTGTAATGCTTTTGCTTGTGATAGTTTTTATGCCGACCTATGGTCGTCATTTTCAGAGGATGAAGTCCTTGAGCATGCTTAAAAGAATGAGAAGAGGGTTCTTTTCTCAAAGTGGAGACTCTAATGCAAGTGATGATGATATTTATGTCAAAGAACTAAGGGTCACGCGAGATAATTGTCTACCTACACATAATTTGAACACGCAGGCAAAATTTACAGAGAAAAGAATTAGAGCTAACATCTTTTGAGTACTAGATCTCAATCACGAATAGAGCTTTGTCTTTGCCTTTTCTTGTTACATTTTTTTCTCATGTACTCAAGCTTACTTTATTTAAATAAAATTACACCATTTCAATATATATATATATATATATATATATATATATATATATATATATATATATGTGTGTGTGTGTGTGTGTGTGTGTGTGTGTGTGTGTGTGTGTGTGTGTGTGTGTGTACACATATAATAAGAACTTCTAGTGAAAACCCGCTACAAAATAAGAACTTCTAATCTACACCATTGATTTATGAAATCAAGGGTTAGCATTAACAAGGTGGCAATTTTGTAATAATTCTACCGTAATTACAAACAAGATCCCATTTGAATTTTCATTAATTACACAAAGTACCACATGTGGATCCTACCAATGATTGAATTAAATAAAAGGTTGGGATTAAAAGTTCTCATTATAACAAGTTCTCATTCTAAGACGAGTCTTCACTAGAATCCTCCTATATATATATATATATATATATATATATAGAGAGAGAGAGAGAGTGAATCTGGTGAGAAGCCTTGTACGGCTGAAAAGTGAGAAGCAATCCTGATCGTCCGATTAAAATTAATCATACGCTTCTAATTTAAAATTTAAACAAAAGCCGTGTCATCATAACCAAGTTTTGGAAGCTGCGAAAAATTTCTCTGCAATCGCTCACTAACCGAGATTGAGCAACTTAAGAAAACATTCAATCTCTTGCGCAACATTCAATCTCTCTAGCTATCTCTTCGAATACCTTCAATGGGAGTTCGAAGAAATTGAATCAATCAGACTCCGCCGAAGTTGTGCTAGAATTCTCCGAACTTCAGGAAACTAGAATCGACCGCACTGGGCC